ACATCCTTCTAGTTGCTGTGTGTGGGACGCGGCCTCAGCGTGGCCGGAGAAGCGGTGGTTGGTGCGCGCCCGGGATCCGAACCCTGGCCGCCAGCAGCGGAGCGTGCGCACTTAACCACTAAGCCATGGGGCCGGCCCCTCTGAGAACTTCTGAAGACTATTTTAAACATTTCTCCTGTCCCACAAATCTCTCACCTCCTTCTCCTTGCCCCATTCTCAGCTCATGACCTGGGCTTTTCATGGAGGGATCACAATCATCAGGCCAAGAACTGCCCCCACTTTCCAACACCAGAACCTGTAATAGACCTGTAGGTACACCCATTCTTTTCTCCCTTCTCGCCACTAGAAAGAGAAATGCGTCCATCTACCCAACAAACGGCTGTGCCTCCACCTGTTCTCTATCCCAACCCTTCCTGCCTTGCAGGAACCTTATACTCCTCTCGCCAGTATCTTCGGGCTCTTCTCTGTAGGATCCTTCCTATCATCATTTAAAATGTTCCTGTCTATACCAATTTAAAATGCACATCCCTGGTTCTATATCTTCCTCTGCTTACGTCTTGCCTCCCATCCATACTCTCCTCTCCACCTTTTCACCCTACTCCACTCCAACTTGACATCCACCCACATTATTCAATTGTGTCCACCATACCAAGTTCTCTGGGATCTATCCCCAATTAGGGCTGACACCCTTTCTGGATCTGGACATACGTTGATTCTTTTAATCATAGTGGGAAAGAAATTTTAGAATACTGACAATCAGAAGCCTGTCAAAAACTTTCACGTGCCCTGAATTTATTCCCTGGTAAATGCAATGTTCAAACCAGATTCAGATATTACCTGAATAACTTGCGTCCCTCTACCTGAAGGCAGACAACTTCAAGTGTCTATGTGGTCCTGAGCACTAAATTGAATTGCTCATATCAGGAGTACATAAACTAAGGTTTGCTGAGCAGCCTAGAGTTGAATATAACAATAATTTTTATAATAATTGTTAAAATTAATAATTTTATTATAATAATAAATAGTTTAATACTAAAAACAGCTATCATTTGATACTAAAAACAGCTAGGCATCATTCTATGAGCTTTGCATGTATTAATTTAATCAGTTGGACCTCTGTAGGGTATCTGCTCCAGCAGGATACTGTGTGTGCATGGTTTGTGGGTCTTTTGTTTTTTTCAGTCCTCAGAGGGCCTGACTGTTTACAACCTTCTTGCTACTTAATCCCATAAACTCTGGGATAAAGTTCTACATTAATCCTTAAACAAAGGAATAATCTTTCCCAAGATTTGAGACACTTAGAACCATCTGGGTACCTGAGCAAAAACCTTTTGAATAGAGGAATTTACACATATTGTTCATACTTTATAAGTGCAAACGTGCAGATCTCTTAAAGAAAGCAGTCACTTTTGGACATCCCTTGCCGTGGAACAGCGATCATTAATTTACTAATATTCACTACCTCTATGGCAGCTAAAATAATGACATGGTTGGAGTAAGAGAAATTCTGCCCCAAACAATCACCAAAAACCTAATATTACCTAGCCAGATAATGCCTGGCTGTTTTTAGTATTAAATGATAGCTGTTTTTAGTATTAAACTATTTATTATAATAAAATTATTAATTTTAACAATTATTATAAAAATTATTGTTATATTCAACTCTAGGCTGCTAAATTCAGTGGGAAAGTTTCAGTTCTCAGCTCCCTTGACATAGCAGCAGCATCCAGTGAAGGAGGCCATTCCCTTATTCATAAGACACTTGTCTTGGCTTCTGTGACCAATGTTGGTTTTCCTCCTGCCTTCCTGACTGCTCACTCTGTCTTTACTGACCCCACCCTCTCCACTTGACCTTTAAATATTAAATTCCTCAGGTCTCCATCCTGGGTTCTCAACTCTTCTTCTCTGCTCTCTCCCTTGGTGATTCAGCCACTCCCCTGGCTTCAGTACCCTAAGCCTGCCCAAACCTATACATCTAACCCAAGCTGCCATTCTTGCCCAGACCTGTGTATCTAAGGCATCTCTGACGTCCCTACTTGGTTCTCTCACAGGTACATCAGGCTCAGTAGGTCCACAACTGAACTCTTAATCTTGCCCTGATCCCTTCTTGCTCCCGACAGAAATTTGGGTGTCACCTAGACAACCACCTTCTTTTTCCACACTCCACCCCCATCCAATGTCTTACCAGTAGGGCACTTCATTATTTCTCAAGTCCATCCCCAGCCCTCCATCTCCACTGCCACCACTCAGCCTGCACCTAGCCTCTACTGCCACGGACCCAGCCTAAACTTTTACAAGAAAGTTCAAAATCATGAATTCAGCAGGCTGCATGATCTGGCCTTCACCCACCTCTACAGCCTAATTTTGTGCCCACATCTCTCATGTTCTCTACGCAAGGTTTTGTTCAGTTTCTCAAAAATTTCAACTTTCTTCTCAGCTCAGTTCATCATCACCTGGTGTTCCCTGTCCCTGGAAAGCTACTTCTCCAACTCTGCTTGGATGCTCTTGTTCATCTTCCAGGTTCAACTTAAAAGACCACTTCCTCGGGGCAGCCTTTCCCAGCCCCTGGTCTTGGTTAGCTTTCCTTCATGTGCTGCCATTACATCTGACATCCACCACAGTGTTTACATGTAGCTGTGTGATCATCTGTCTAACTATAAGCTCCTTGGGGGTTTGTGTCTGCCCTGCTGTCCAGGGTCTCCAACTCCTAGCACAGTGCCCGGATCATAATAAGCGTTCCATACGTATTTGTTGAATGAAAGAATGACGATGGAGGTGGGATTCCAACTCAGGACTGCCTCCCAGCCTGGCGCTTTCGCCTCAGCCACTCCGTTTGGTGTTTTCGCAGAGCCCCGTAGTGAACGTGGAGAGAGCACAGCGCCCAGAGCACGGGGCGGGCCGGAGTTCCGCGGGGAGGGGAGGAGCGGGGCATCCGTCCGGGAAGAATCCGAGGCACCGTCCGCGGGAGCACAGGGGCCCCCTTGTGGCGCGGCCTGCGCCCCGCGGCTCCAGGACCAACGGCTTCGGCCCGCGCCAGGGCGGCGGCGGTCCGGCCCACCCGTGACCCGCGGACGGCAGGGAAGACTGGCGGCCCCGCGGGGCGGGCAGGCGCCCCAGGCCCTCGCCTCAGGAAACTCCCTCTCAGACCCTCCCCACAGCGGCTCCCCTCACCCCTCGCCCACGCGGGGCTCCTCACGGTGGATTCAGGTGGATTCGGGCCCAGGGAGAAGCCACTGGCCACTCTCACTGCCCCGGCCCCCAGGAATACTCCGGAGAGCAGCGCGGACGCAGCTTCCCTCTCCTGGACAAGAAAACTATCATTTCATAGTAAGTTTCTTCCCTTTCCTTGTCCTTTCCCCTTTCCCATGCCCGTGTGGGCATAGGTCTTGCACTTGCGTGTGGACAGACTTGGGTTGGTTCTGATTCTGAAGGTGTGAAACCTTAGGCACGTTCGGTAACCTTCCTAGTCGCCATTTCTGCGTCTATAAAGTGCGGATACCAAAGCCTATGTCGCTGAGCTGGGTTCTCAAAGTGCCGAGCCAGAACGAGCAGCATCAGCGTCACCTCTCACTTTTCAGAAATGCAGATTCTCTGACCTTCCTCCAACCGACTGAATCAGAAACTCGAGGGTAGGGTTCTGCAATCTGTTTTAACAAGCCCCAGATGATTTCCATGCAGGTTAAATTTGAGAACCACTGTATAGGAGGGGCCAAATGAAATAAATAAAATATTGTGTATAAAGAGTCAGGTAAATAGTAGATATTCAATAAATAGTGGTTCTAGTTACTATTATTCCAGGAACAAAGAGGCATTTTAGTTGCACAGAAATGGAAAGTTAAGCAGGCACTTCTTGTCTTTCCTTTTCTTTTAAGCAAGTCTTTATTTTCTTGCTTTAAAAAAACTAAAAACAAAAACATATGCAAGAAAGCCTCTTCTACAAAAAAGAATAGGTATGCAACAGTAGCTTCTCACATAATAAACTTACATTTCTTTTTGACATACTTCTTAGTATCTTCTGACTACTTTTGAAAAGCAGAACATGATTAATGTTAAAGGCTTTACCATTTTAATTGGTTTAATTCAAATTTCAACTTTCTTATGCTGCAGTTAGTTTAAGATTGAAAGATGTAATAGAACTTCCATATGATTCAGCAATTCCCATTCTGAATATTTATCCTAAAAAACAAAAACACTAACTTGAAAAGATATATGCACCCCCATGTTCACTGCAGCATTATGTACAATAGCCAAGATATGGAAACAACCTAAGTGTCCATCGATGGATGAATGAATAAAGAAAATGTAGTATATATTTACAATGGAATATTATTCAGCCATAAAAAAGAATGAAATCTTGCCATTTGCAATGACATAGATTGGACCTTGACATTGCAAGGACCTTGAGGGCATTTTGCTAAGTGAAATAAGTCAGACAGAGAAAGACAAATACTGTATGATCTCACATTGGAATCTCAAAAAAAAAAAAAAACAAGCTCATAGATACAGAGAACAGATTGGTGGTTGCCAGAGACAGTGGGTAGGGGTTGGGCAAAATAGATGAAGGAAGTCAAAAGGCACAAACTTCCAGTTATAAAATAAATAAGTCATGGGAATGTAACGTACAGCATGGCAACTATAGTTAATAATACTGTAATGCATATTTGCAAGTTGCTAAGAGAATACATCTTAAAAGTTCCCATCACAAGAAAAAAATTCTGTATGTATGGTGACAGATGTTAACTAGACTTATTGTAGTGATCATTTCGAAATATATACAAATATTTCATCATTATGTTGTACACCTGAAACTAATGTTGTATGTCAATTATACCTCTATTTAAGAAAATGTTTAAAAAAAAAGATTGAAAAATGTAATGGTTGACCACGAAACAATTAACCTAATAAAGATGAAGGTACATATTTATTTTTTGAGAAATCTAGCTTCATTACCATGGCAAATTTTATTGCTTGTCTTTTCCTTTATATTCATTGCAGAAACTCCAAAAAGTACACAATAGAATTAATTAGAAATGTCAAGATTGCCCAAAAAAGGATTACCTAGATTTGATCAAATTCAAGATGAAGAAACGTACCTGGAAAATTTGACAGTACAGAGAAATGCTTCTGCTTTTTTTGAAAAATATGATCGGAGTGAAGTACAAGAGTTGCTAACTACTGTACTAGTTAGCTGGTTGTCTGTCAAAGACGACGTCCACTCTCAGTTTGACGTGCCATGTGGAATTATGAATCAAATGAATAATGTGGGCTTCTCCACTGCAATCCTGCTGACTCCTGTGGACCCAACTGCCCTCTTAGACTATAGAGAAGTCCATCAGATCATCAGGGAGTTGGCTGTTGGAATTTATTGCTTAAATCAAATTCCTTCCATCAGTTTAGAAGCTAATTATGATCAGAGTTCTTCTTGTCAATTACCTCCAGCTTATTATGATACCAGAATTGGGCAAATTCTGATCAATATTGACTACATGCTGAAAGCACTATGGCATGGAATATATATGCCCAAAGAAAAACGAGCCAGATTCTCTGAATTGTGGCGTACCATCATGGACATTGATCCAGATGGGAAGCCTCAAACAAATAAAGATATTTTTGCAGAGTTTAGTTCAGCAGGTAAGAGAATTTAACACATTTTATTTTTACTAGAAGCCATTTTTTACATTTAAAAGTTATTTATATATGGCTCAGTTTTATGTATTTATTTAGCCACATTTCTTAAAAGAGATCTTTTAAACTCCAAAGAATCTTTTCAATAAAACTTTAATTTTTTTCAATGTCACCAAAAATTATGTTTTAAGTCAAACATCTTACCTCTTTCATCTTAATCTCCAATTTATGCAGAACATATAAGATTCCAGATACCTGATGGAGAGTTTTCAGTTTATACTTTTTGTCGTATGGGGCCTAAGTAGGAAAATCAGTAGTAAAGCCAAGAGTAGAATTGGAGTGCAATGAGGAAAATCTCCAAACTTGAAAACCAGATGATTGCCAGATTGATTAGCCATCCACATGCCGTTTTTATAAACCTCTGAAGTGAAAGATATAAAAATTGAAGTTAAGGATAGATGTGCATCAGCAATCTAAGATTTGGTATTTTAGTACCATTTGGTTTCATAAGTCCTTATTCTTGATTCACCTAACTTTAATTCTTCCCTCCTCAGGGCCACACTTCTCTAAAGCCTGTATATAAACAATAGATACCGCTAAGTCCTGGTGCATCTCCTTCAGCATATGTAGATTTTTTATTGGAGTTTAAAAAAAAAAAAAATTCCTATAGTTCCTTTGCAGCGGGCCAAGTGGAATGGGGAGTGAAATGGGAAATGTGTGCCCCAAACAGTGTTTCCAACTGCTTTCATTGACTAAATATATCTAATCACTTTCTAAATAGATTTCCAGAGTATGTGAGCACAGGCTTAAAAATAAGCCTCAATTCTGATAAAAATATATTGGAATTTCACTTGACTGGAGGAGAGAGCATGATAATAGATTTTATACAGATTTTATTGTATCTGAAACTGAAAAGGGATGACAGCTCATCCTTCAGGTATAAAATGTCATCCAGTGGTTCCTTTCTTGGCCATTTTGAGAACAAATCTATTGATTTATGTAGTGCATGTGAATTTGGCTGCACATTATGGGGTCGGTATTCAAAAATATAATATTTTCGATCTTTATGCAGTTTATTTTATATATAATCTTAATATGGCAAGAAGCTTTTGCATAATCTTACTAAGGCAGAAGAGGATTAATATTCTCCCCTAATTAGCCAGATTTCCCTTGGCTAAACAGAGCTACTAACAGAAGCTTTTAATGGTAAATCAGGTGGAAATGAACCACGTTTATCTGAACTGGACATGTAATTGAGGAGAAAATTCTCTGAAAAAGACTTTAGTTTGTCAGTGTAAATCTGGTTACTAAAGAAAATACCTTGAAAACCAAATTAGTTGTTTCTTAGCTTCTCAATAAAATGTGGAAGGATTATGATCATTTGAATATTTAATGCCATTAATATGGTAAGTTAGTTTCATGGAGTTGTTTAATAGTTTTCTTTCCTTATCTTTTTTCCTTCTCTGTCATTGATAGCTAAATCAAAAATTATATACACACAGGCACATAATATATGTTTATAAAAGACTCTAGATCAATTTACTCATTTTACATATATTCATTGAGATTTATTTCTTGCTGAGACACAGAAATAAATCTGACATCAAGAACAAGTAAACAGTAAGCTTAAGTGTAAGTTCCATGAAAAAAAGGCCCTCATCTGTCTTGTCTGTCTGGTACGTTTAGTGCCTAAAACAGTGCCTGACACACCGTAGGCATCATTTATTAAATTGTATTAAATGAATTGAATTGAATCAATGAATAATTACATGGGGCAGGGGTGTCACACATCTTGAGAGCGTTTCTACCATTACCAGTGGATCCGGTTGGAGATCAAGTCTAGCATGGGTGTCCCAGAGGGATTTAATAATTGTAAACTGAGGGAGCAGCCCCTCAGCAAGGGTGTCACGACTAGATCATGCTCAAAGTTTTGACCGTCCTCAAGTGTCCAATCAGAAAGGTGTCTAGGTACAATGGCTACAATTGGGTAGTCCCTCCCCCACCACCACCTTCAGCACTACACACCACTGAACACTTCTGAGTCTTGGTTAGGACCTGAACCACAGGTCCTGTGGTTCTACCTGTGGCTGGACTGCTATGAAGTTCGAATGCCTGAGAATAAGATTTGCTTGGTGACAGTAAGGCAGCCTGACTCACCTGCTATGGGTTGGGTTTCCAGATGTGTTGTTTCAGGCTCTGTAGCCTTAGTGTAGCAGCAAGCAGTACAGTCTCTTGAAGATGGTACCTTTGTGTCTCAAAGAAAATTTAGATGGCTAATAGCTCTCATTCTCATGCAGAGTAATCAACTTCTGTTGAGAACAGGATCTAAGAGTGGTGAGTTTAAGGCAGAAACTCTCCTCCTCTGGGAGAGAATTACTCCATCTGTGGTGGTGGTGGAATCAGCACTAATGCCATCTGGCTGGGTGCAGAGTACCATAGGATTGGAGGGTCACTGGCTTCTAAGAGATTATAGCTGTAACTGGAACCTAATAAATCCTTTTTTGTTGTTCAGTTCTTTGGGGGTGATTAGGGTGAAGAAATGCAAAATATTGCCAGTAATATCTAGCGAATTCCGTCAATTTCTACATTCCCTTGAATGGTCTGGATGTTCCCTCTGAGAGCCCACTGACACTTTGGCATCATTGTAGATGCATCGTTGAAGAGAATATGGCATGGTCAAAGTCTTAAAACATTTGTTAGAGTTTGCTCAGAAGTCCTATCATTGCTAGTAGTTTAGGACCTCCAAGGCTAGCTCAGGTCATGTAAATAAAATGTAACTAAATTAAGTTGTCATTTGCGTGGTTGATGACCCTTCTATCCTGGAAGTTGTGCAGTAATCCATTCGCTTATCCTTGGAAGACAGAAGGGAACATTGCACAAACCAGGTGATGTCTCTGTATACTTGAATTGGCCAAGATGTTTCTGGAAAACTAAGTTACATGGTTTGCCCTTCCTAATTGAGATGATGTCAGGAGCTTTGTGAAGGTCTGAGCTCCATGGAGGTTAAGGATCAGCAGGAGTGGATAGTGGTTTCCAACAATGTTAAAACCTTGACAATCCTGACAAAAATTGGATTTGCTTTTCTTCCCTTTTTACAAAGTTTACTTGGGACTCTCATTGGAGAGGAGGTGGGACTGATGAACCATCATTTCGATCTGGCATGTGTCAAGCAAGGCACAGATTTGACTGGTAAAGAAACAATGAGCTCTTTTAGATTCAGATATCCAGGTGGAAATTTCCATTATAGAAATCAAATTCTGGAGAGTGATCAGGGTTAGAGGTACACTTTCACATATTAAAGTCACAAAAGCCTTTGGATCATCCAGTGAGAGCATCAATAAAAAGAAGAGACATGGCCATGGCAGGGGGAAGCACATGTCCTGGTGTGTAACTAAGGATAGAGGGCTCCTGCTTAGTTGATGACAAAGTCGGTTACATCAAGCAACTTCATGGCCCAGCCTCTGGTCTATTGAGCTCAGCTGTCTGTCATATCTGAGGCCACCCTCTATGAGAATTCCCTCACAGTGGTGCTCCTGGTTGAGGGGATCAGAGACACATAGGAATATTCTAATCAAGATGTAGGAGGAGTGGGGGAGCATCCAGAAACTAGTGCTGTCTGTCTTCCACTGCCTACATTTTCAGGGGTGATACTCAAAATACTTAACCACGAGTACAGCATGGCAATTGACCAGTCAGAACAGACATCAGCCATAATGCTGGAACAGTCTCAGAGACCTCCTGCTTGTTATATGTACCCTTTGCTGGATCATGGAGCTTTCCAGGCTATCCCAGGGGACGGAGGCATTCAAAGAGCTTGGGGCTCTAGCAATTCAAATTATGAAACAATATAGAAGGGTTCAATATTTTAACAACCAATGTAGCCATATTGATACATATCACCTAAATATCAATCCTGGACATTTCTACTCAATTCTTTCCCGGCTGGGAACCCATGTCTCGACTATTGTGATTCTACCTCTAAAATATCTCAAAATCATCCATTTTGGTTTATGTTCACTGCAACACTGATACAGAACACTCTTGTCTCTAGCCTTACATGCTACAACTGCCTCTGACTGCTCTCTCTGCCTCTAATCCCTTTTTCACTGTATATTAATGAAGCTGGAAACCTTTCCAAATCCAGTCACTCTACCACCATGTGCCTTGGGAAAAGTGCTGTGTGAGTTTACACTAAAACACTTTGTAATATTCCTGCTGGGCCATCAAAGATGAGCATCATACCGGGAGCAGAGATTTTCTTCTCCCTCCACTGCACTTTGGGAGTCTGCTGAAGAACCGGCAGCATCGGCATGCTTCAGGTGCTGTAACAATGGTGTAGTGCAAACACTGGTCAATGACCAAGCAGCACACATGCTAGACCTGTTAGAGCAGAGTTTATGGGGGAAAACTCACAGAGACAGCAGCAGGAATAGATAGAGTTTCCCCATCCTGCACCACGCCTGGAGCATCACTGTGAAATCCTGCAGGGCCAAGCACCAGACCCGGGGAAAGGGACTCAGGCCATGGAGCTTTTATGCCGCGTGATTAAGGAAACACAGGGTCCAAGGCCACAATGCAAGAGCAATGTGTATTAGCCTATGTATTAGGCCCCAAATTAGAGCCTGAGCTGAAGACTTAAGTCAGGGTAGTTTATGGGAAATGACTCCAAGGAACAGGAGTGAGGGACAGGAAAAGTGAATAGACAAGGAGGGAACATCAATCCAAGGATGTGCTGTTGAGCTTTCACCAGCTGGGCAGTTGGGGTCCGCTTTGCTGGGACTCTCTGAGGAGTCACACAGAATACACTTCAGAATTGTCAGCCAGAGGGATGGAAGAAGGGAGCATGTATCCACTGGCTTCTCTCCCCAATTGGTCAAAGCTTGCATGGGGGTTGACTCCCTGGCACTTCAAGATTTGTTCATGCATCAGGCTGGATGGGTTGCATCAGGAGTCCAGCACAGCAGCAGCGGAGAAGCCCCAGGGCGAAATAAGAGCCCTGTGGGGCATGTGAGGCCAGGTCCAGTTAGGTTTAATCTGCGTGGAGCTGGCCGATGCAACAACAGCTAGCATGAAAAATATGGTCTATGGGTGAGTGAGGTAGGGAACAAAAGGCATCTGATAGACAGTGTGACTCACGGAAACTTGCCTCCAGCCCTGTCCTCCCAGTGTAGTCCTTGTAGTTGCAGCTGTATGGTGGCAAGCTAGCAGCAAGAATCGCTATATAATTACTCATGTCTGGGGAAACAGCACCTACTCTCTTGGCAGAACTGGGAGGCTGGGTTCAAGTCTTGCAACTGACCACGCGATTGCCTTAAACATTGTGCCACAGTGGATTTCCAAGGAATTTGCAGGAGCCCAGTTCTTTTTTCTGGGAGGGCCAACTGCTGGGAATCAGTCTGGCCAAGTTACACTTGACCTCTCTGATAGTCTTGCACTGTACAAAGCTAAAAGCAAACACAACTCTTAAAAAACTGGAGCAAAAGCAGTACAGAATAGAGCACACCAAAATCTGTCTATATCCAGTTTTCTGAGAGGGGATTTTAATTAGGGCAAGTCCCTTGATCTAAGTAATTCCTGGGTTCTTGGATTTATTACATGAGGTTTAGGGGATGAGAGGAAAGAAGAAAAAGATATTTTCATGATAGCAAAATGGGGGAGGGGAACTTTTAGTGGAAATACTAAAAAAAGATATGACCTTATTTAATACCACAAGCTGGTAATGTGAAATGGTTATTTTTATTTATTGATTGATTGATTGATGAGGAAGAGTGGCCCTGAGCTAACATCTGTTCCCATCTTCCTCTATTTTGTATGTAGGATGCCGCCACAGCATGGTTTGATGAGTGGTACAGGTCCACACCCGGGATCTGAACCTGTGAACCCCAGGCCACCAAAGCGGAGCGTGCCAAACTTAACTACTGTACCAGCAGGCCAGCCCCTATTTTTTAATTTTTATTTTTTATCTGGATGCCCTTCTCCCTGCCATTCACCCACTCTTTCACATTCCTCCCCAGGTTATTGATACTCATTTTTTGAAACTTGATTCAACACAGCCTCCTCTATTCTGTGCACACTGTGTTCTGTATTGAAATTGTTGGCTTCACCTCTGTCTTCCTTGTCAGACCCTAAGCTCCTCCTGGAGAGCACAGTAAAGTGTGTCTTTTTTGTCTTTAAATTCTCAGCGCCTTGTACAGTGCTTGGTACACAGTAAACTTCCAATACATGTAGAAAGTAAATGGTTAATAACAGATAAAATGTAAGAGACAGGGAATCACAGGAGACTCTGGTTTCTGGTTTGAAGAACTGATAGATAAATAGCACCATTAACTGTGATAGGGAATGAAAGAAAAGCAGATTTTCAGGAAAGGAAAGATGAATTTCGATTGGAAGTGATTCTGTGGCATTCAGGTAAAGGTATTTATTAGGCATGGAGAAAGAATCTGGAGTTCAGGAGCAAAAGCAAGGCAGGAGATGAGAGTAAAAGAAATTAGCACAGAGGTGAAAACAATGGAATCTTGTGCTTCTCTTCCCTCATTCTCCAAATTTAGTTATAGCCAATTTTTGGTTAAATCTTTTCTCATTTTTTACTTTATTATGACTTCATACATATTCTTCCTAGCTGATTTACATACTATGCTATGATCACATTTTCTTTTTATTTGTTTATTTTTTTGTGAGGAAGATAAGCCCTGAGCTAACATCCATGCCAATCCTGGTCTTTTTTTGCCAAGGAAGACTGGCCCTGAGCTAACATCCGTGCCCATCTTCCTCCACTTTATGTGGGATGCCACCACAGCATGGCCTGACGAGTCGTGTGTCGGTGCACCCCCCGGATCCGAACCTTGGCCGCCAGCAGCTGAGCGTGTGCACTTACCCGCTACACCACTGGGCCAGCCCCAATCACATTTTCTTTAATAACTTTTTATTTCTCATGACATGAACAATTGTGTCATTCTTTAAGTTAGCTTCATTTCCCATGTGCTTATTACTAATTCAGCCCCAAACTTTTGAACAGAAATATCCACCTCCTCTCAGTAAAGTGAACTCTCAGGCAGTGCTTCCTTAGAAGGGTCTGGACACCTTCATCCTCCTAGTCTGTCTGAACCCCTTGGTTCTTCTCGAGGCACTTTCCTTTACTGCTCTCCAAAATCCGTTCTCCCATTCTCCACCCTCCCTCCTCGTCCTCCCTCCCCCTCCTCCCTCCCCCTGCTCCTCCTCCCCCTCCCTCCTCTCTCCAGGCGCAGTCTCTCAGCTGAGAGGCTTTCCTCACCTCCTGGCGGTCCTCGCTGTTTGTGCTCGCTGTTTGTGCTCGATGGGGAGAGAGGCGGGGGCAGGGCTTGCTGACCAGCGCCGCACTGCAGGGTGATCAGAAGAAACCTTGCCTTTTCTCTGGGGAGCCACTCCCACGTGCTGTATCTGTAGGTCTTTTCTCTTTGGTTGGTTTGTTTCCTCCAGGCTCCCCCGCTCCAGGAGGCCATGAGTCTGAGGCCAGAGAAGGGGCTGCGGGTCTCCCCGTTCAGCACAGACTCCCAGCACACCCCTCCTCCTGGCCCTCGGCGGTGCTTCGCAGCCCGTTTAGTGAGGAAGGGAAGGAGCTGTGCTATCTGGGGAAGGCAGGCGATCTGGGGGTCTCACTGCACCTTTATCAGACTTTGAACCAATCCTTTCTTTTTGAATTCCAATGCCGTGACCTGTCCTTCAGAGGTTCCACTGCTTCCAATTTCTAAGCCCTCCTGCTGTTCTGTGGTGAGAATTGACTTGCTACCCATTGGCTCCCACCCACCCAAGCCACAGTTTTAGAGGTATCAACAATGCTCTGGCTTATATTTAGACTTTTTTTTTTTAAGTCAGAAACACTTTAATTTCTTTATAATCTGTTAATAATTTAACTTACTCTTTTGCACAAGGGAGATGAATCATAGAGGTCATTTTAAAAATCCAAGAGTATTCTGGCTTTTTAAAAGAAATACATTCAAGGAAGAAAAAAAGGAAAAAGAAAAAGGGCACATTGATGTATTATTTACACTTTAAGGCACATATGTTGCAAACAAACTCCACGGTTTCTACAGTCATATTTTATGATTCCAAGCAGGTTTCTCAAGCCTAGATTAAGAGTAACATTGTAGATTGTCACTATCTTTAGAAAGACAATTTGTCAACAAGAAAGTCCTTAATTTTATCGTAAATGGGAAGAAAATGTAACATAGGAAATTTGTCATTTGTAAGAGAGTAAAATCAAGTTTTCTTTCTTATTGTTTCATCATTGTTAGTGAGCAGGCAAGTTCTTTATTTATTGTATATGTTTAACTTCTGTTATCAGCAAAAAGAAGAAATGTGTCATACACGGCCTGAAAAAGCAAATTATACTTTTAGGCCAAGTAAGAAACTGATTCTCTGCTTAAAGGAAGATCACATTTTCTTGTTTTTCCATATTTTCCTTGATTAAAGATGGAATGTATGGAATTGTGTTTTTTTCCTCCGAAGAATGGAAATCTGTTTGTTTTAATTCCACAAGCTTGCGTCTGTCTTTACTCTGCTCAGTTACCACTCATCCGTCTGCTTTTCATCTTGACAACGTTATTGGTGTCTCATTATTCCTTTACTGCCGTGTTAGTAGGATATCAGGATGAAACCCTGTGTTCAACCTGCTGTATTTACCTAGAAGCCAAATATGAAGTTTTCACTATCTAAAATTTTTGTTTTTTACTGTGAAGGTTTGATTGATATTACAAAGGATCCAGACTTTAATGGAATTTATGATGAAGACATGAATGAAGATCCAACATATAATCCTAATAGCCCTGAAGAAAAAGCTGTGTTTATGAAATATGCTGAAAATATTTTGCTAAAGTTGACGTTCAGTACCACACAAGTTCAACAGTATGAAAATGTTTTTATATTTGAAACAGCCTATTGGCTTACTAATGCTATAAAATATAATCAGGATTATCTTGATATTTGTACCTACCAGAGACTACAGCAAAGATTATATCTTCACAAAAAGGTTATTCAAAAACATTTTGAGAAGAAAAAAGAAATCAGAAGAGGGATAGGATACTTAAAGTTAATATGTTTTCTGATTCCATTTCTACTGAGTTTAAAAAAGAAGATGAAAGTCCCATATTTAAGTAGTCTGCTTCAACCTTTTTCAGGTAAGAGTATCACCAAAAATGAAATATAAAATATAGATGTATTTTCAACTTATATTTAAATTCAATTTTGTTTCTAGTATGTGGGTCTAGGCACGTAACCTAGCTGTGGCCTGTTAGAAAGAAAAAAACAAAATTAAATGTCTTCAAAGTAATTAAAAATACTTGGTATATGTACATAGTATTCGGTATATATTTATACCATTATAAGGGCTATTGTGAAGGACTTAAAACAAGTTCTGAGAAAATAGAGAAATATGCCATGTTTATGATGGGACAACACTGTGAATATATCATATCTTATCCAAATTACTCTATAAATTCAATGCACTTCTACTCAAAATCTGTCATGTTTTTCGTAAAAGTTTATAAATTGATTCTGAAATTAATACAGAGCACTAAAGGATCATATATGGTCTTACATTTCTGAAAAAGATGAAAACATATTTTAAAACTTTAGTCATGTATTGGCACTACAATAAACAAATAGACCAATGTAAGTGAATAGAGAGCTGAAATAGGACCATGCTTATATGGAATTTGACAGGAATGTGGTGCAAACTATTCCTCCCACTCAGATTAGCCCACAATTTATATATTTTCGTTGGTGCCCAATGTAGACTGATTATAGTGGGCTTTCTATTCAGATGGCAATTTTCAGTAGAAATTTTGCAAATGGTTTAATGAAATTTTGTATCATGAGAATTCAGATGGTGAAGATTATTATCCATATCTGTGAACTATTTAAAAATGGGCTCATGACAATGCTTGTCCCATGGTGGCACGTGTATGGAACTAAGAGGGCCTTCCTTAAAGAACATGTTAGCTATATCTGTAATGTTTTGTTACTTAAATTATTGGAAGCACATATGACTAAATGTTAATAGTTAATTCCAGATGGTGAGATTAGGGTGTTGTATTATTCTTTGTAGTTTTCTATACCTTTTACATTTCTCAAAATACATTATATACTTTATATTGATGAAACCATATTCTGCTAACAAGTCAAAATATTGAACAAACCTAATCCTCACTGGGATTTTAGAAAATTATTTTTAAAATAAATGTTATATGTGTGGTTTCATTACTTTTCAGAAAAGTGGGCTGGTTATTTTTGTCATGTGAGAGATACCCACCTACTTTTTTTGTGTGTGTGTGAGGAAGATCAGCCCTGAGATAACATCCATGCCAATCCTCCTCTTTTTGCTGAGGAAGACTGGCCCTGAGCTAACATCTATTGCCAATCCTCCTCCTTTTTTTCCCTTTTTCTCCCCAAAGCCCCAGTAGATAGTTGTATGTCATAGTTGCACATCCTTCTAGTTGCTGTATGTGGGACGCCACCTCAGCATGGCCAGACAAGCGGTGCATTGGTGCGCGCCCAGATCTGAACCCGGGCCGCCAGTAGCGGAGCACACGCACTTAACTGCTAAGCCACGGGGCCAGCCTCCCCACCTCTTTCTTTTTAACATCTCTTTTTACCTAGCCCAGGAGAGTTTTTGTTTATTTAACCAAAGATTCTTTAAGGCAAAGAGTTTCAAATCTTTTCTTGAGCTGACACATAGAAACCAATAAGTAGAATAATGTTTTGACTATTTTGAAATGTTTGTACAATGAAACTACAGGAAATACCCAAAATGTATGATATAAATATATTTTAATGTTTAAAATATACATAGCATAAATAATTTTATAGACTGCAATTGCCAAGATTTTCATTTCATGTGGATTTTTTCACTTTGTTTACATGAATGAGAATATAGATCTCCAAAATATGATTGTTGATATGCTTTTTTCACTTTTTAAATAAAAGTTTGTTTTCATTTTTGGAGATGACAAGGTCAAGACAGAGCGAGAATTGCCTCCATTCATTTACGGACGAGATTTTAAATGCCAGAATTTTCACTATAAACAGAATCAGTATTTTCATGTTCATGGAGGAATTGAATTTGATATCAGCACGCCTTCAATTGAGAATGCTCTGGAAGAGTTTAAGGTCTGAATTATTATTGTTCCTGAAATGGTTTGTCATCTCACAACTCTCTTATCCTGTTCTCCATCCAGAAAGTGTCTCTGTCGGTACAGGCACTAGGCAGCTCTCCAAATGATTATCTTCCCAACTCACTAATTTTTCCATACATTATATGACATACCTGGATTAAGTGCAGCTATTTCTAAGGTACTATGTTAGATATCAGAAATAAAATGATAAATAAGCTAGATACAACTATCATCCTCACAGAATTTACAGACATCTAATGGACCATATTTGCCCTAGAATAGTTAACCAGAGAGTGCAGTAAAATCCACGAACATTTCATGATGTAGTCTTCCATTTCCTTAAAGATTAGTATTAGACAGAGATCCTCTAGAGTTTGGGAACCATAAGTCTTCATCTGGAATTTAGTATAAACATTATACACTTCAATTGTCATGTTGTCTATATTATATCTTTCCTTTTGTGTTTTTTCCTCACTCCCAAAGTAGGGATTGGATACACGCAGTTATTATTAGGGTCTTGTGGGATATTATGTTAAAAATTTGTCATTTATATGTTTAAAATTTTATCTAAAAGAAGTCATAATTGTTTAGATTTGTTTAAAGATACGTTTTTAGTAACATAACTCATATTTTAGAACAATTTAGAAAAAATACGGGATTGTGCTGCTAATACATTTGTAGAAGATTCAGGATACAAAGAATATTACTCAATACCAGTCATGGAATTTAATGGAAAAAGGTAAGGAACTTTCAGTAATTATTCACAGTAACCTGAACTTGTTGCAAGTTAGCAGAAGACAAGGAAAGTGTTGAAATGCAAAGGCCAACTTAAAACCTCAGTATGGAGATCCTAGAACAATAACACTCACCATGAATGACGTACGGACTCAACCAAGTATTCAGTGTTATATTTATTACTCCATGAACTTTGATCCATTCTGTATAATAATCCTTAGAGATAGAATTAGCTCTTATAATTAACACAGTGGTTAAATGGGGATGGAGGTGGGGATCAAATCCTATGGGCCCACTGAAAAGCAGTGAACTCAGCATACACTGCTTCGTTTCCATAAGGAATATGATTTAAAATCCTCTTCCTCTGCTGGGTCTCATTATGCCTGACATCTTTTGGAGCAGTATGTTTCTCTCAGTATTTCTAGGGTCTTTTATATATTGTGTTCTTGGATTTTCACATCTTGGACACTGAAGTTTGGAAATACGGGAAATAGAGCTCAGAGGAAGCATTTGGGTTGGAGGTAGAGGCTTAAGATTTAAAAGCATATAAGAGGGGTTTTTGTTTTTTTGTGTGTTTGTTTTGTTTTTTCTTAAAGGCATGTAAATATTTGAGAGGATAGGACAAAGTCTGGAACTCTAGAGAAAAGCAGCTTTTAAAGGGGGTGGGGAAGAGCAGAGGAGAGAGCAAAGGAGACTGAGAAGGAATGATACAGGTAGAGGGGGACCAAGAAAGTATGATAGCATAGAAGCCAAATGGGGAGAATTTTAAAAATATGGAAATAGTTAAAAGCATCAAATTCATTACAGAAAAAGGCCAAGTCAATTTAAGACGGAAGAGAGCCCTCTAAATTTGGCAATGACTTGGTAAGAGTATTTTAGTTGCAGCTATAGAAGGCTATGTGTAGTGAGTTGAAAGGTAAATTGGGGAGTTCATGGAATGTAAAGAAGTAAAGACAAAGATTATAAATTTCTTTCAAGATGCATAGCAGTGAGGGAAATAGGAGAAATAACGCAGAGGGAGAAGCCGGATAAAGAATGAAAGGTGGATCTTTCCACTGACTACTGCCTGGTTGCACACACTAGAGCAGAAGTCAAAGACCATGTGGCTAATGACCTCCATGATTTTGAAGAGAATTAAGCAGCAGGTCTCATGCCTCTGGAACGGACAGTTGGAGGAGGAACCTCTTGCTCAGGGACCCAGCACCTGTTGACATACTCCATGTACGATCCTTGCCAAGCTAAATAGTGTCCTGGAGGCACCTTGGAATAAAGCTTTATTCTCCCAGGTTCTAGTGTCTAGCTGGACACTTATGATCCTAGGAATGCAGGGAAGCAGCTGGGATGAATGCTGTACTTGGTGAGAGGTTGTTGTGGGTGAAGGAGTATGGCTGGCATAAGCACACTGCCATTGCACTGTAAGGGATCCAGTCATGTTGTTGCAATAGGGTGTCACAGAGGAATTGTTTCTCTAGTTTCTGTCTAATACACAGCATTTGATCATCAGTGTTGGTGAATTGTAGATAGATGGATTTGAATTTGCAGGCTTTCAAAACCAGCATAAGCTTGTTTCCCAGACCCAGCCAGCATAGAGTAACAGTAAAAACCACAAGTGGAATAATGACAAGTATTTTCTTGGCTCTTGTACCAATCACTAGAGAACATTCAGTTCCCTGTAAAATCCACCCCCATACAGTTATTCCTATGAATCTCATAGGCCCATGGATCAGCACTCTCAGGTCCTATGAGATACCTTCAGTTACCTCCTTTCCTGCCTGAGCTCCCTGTAATGATCCACAGCTGGGCCCCTGGAGCCCAACAGGCCCCATGAAGGCAACTCAATACTAACGCCATTGTTGTCTCTGACACTGCTGCTCCTGGTTGTGGAGCTGGTGTCACCTCTGAGGCTGGCTCATCCTGATGCCTGCTAAACAGCATGCATCAACTGTGAGACACATTGAAGCCAATCCAATGAAATTAGGAGAATTTCTTTCCCAATTTTATTGGTTTCAAAGAAGTGCTGCCTTGAACCCCTAATAAATTTGGTGCAGAAACAGCTCTTTCAGTCATTGTGCTTACAGTTGTTCCTTCCATAATGTAGGGATCATTCCATGTTGGTGCTAGACCAGAGAATAATCTGAATGATTGAACATGCCATCTCAAAGTCACACGTTTGATTTTAAGGGCATTGTTATTGGACCGAACCCATGTATCTTGATGTTCTCTTTCCTCAGAATGATTTATTTCCTAGGAGACTCCTGGTTCCTTATGAAAATAGGACCAGTTCCACTGGCCTCCCAGGCATGCCCAGAAACATCTAAACCCTAGATTCATTTTTGGCTCAGGTTGGGTTCTCCCACTATATCAGAATCAAAAAATAGGGGCCACACTCAGATACTGAGGAATTGGCAGTCGGTAGAAGCAGAAGAACTCATGAATTATTAAGACGACAATGACTGGAGCAAATACATGACTAAAATGTCCTATTTGGGGGAGAGCATTCCAGCATCATGATACCATTGTGGATGTTAGGAGGCAGGCCAGAATCAACTTAACGTGACAGTGGTGTGTCAGGAAAGTGTGGTGTTAGAAGCTCTTCACCACAGTCCCTAAGCTGGGTGCAGATTCCCAGGCAGAAGAATATGGAGGGAGTTATTTTAAAAGTGGGGCTCCCCTAAAGTCCCTGCTGATGACTACACTTAAGGTTTTGAGTAAGAACAGGATATGTCACAATGCAGTACTGGGAAGAGGGCTCCCTCGTAGTGCTGCCATCTGGGTTTTCTGTGCCCAGTAATCATCTCTGTGTGGGCAAGTGTTGGCCTAATGCGCAGGTTGTGTATCCAGCCTTAGGAGGGGGTCACAAAATCATGCGGTCAGAGACTTTCTCAGGGTGCAGCGACCTTCAGCACCTCCTTTTTTCTCCAATTTCTAGGGTAGGACAGCCCCCTGCTGGTTCTGATGCTTGATTTGTACTGGATGACTAAACTGAATTTTTAGAAGAAATCAGCCCACCTTCCCTTGGTATTTGGTGAATTTATATGTCTGTTTCATTGCTTAAGCAGTGATCCAAGAGGACATCACTGAGTACCAGGGCCCCAAAGGTAGTCAGCAGCTCCTGTTCTCATAGCCATTTACCACAGCCAGGGCCAGTTCCCCAGAGAAGTATGTGAAAAGACAGAGGTTGCTGGCACTGAGATTCTCTTGGAGCAGGATGATATAGAGCTGAGCCAAAGATCAAAGGACATTCTCAGTGTGATCCCCGTGGAGGAGTCTTGTGGGACTTGAAGTATCTGTTTGTGGTGTCCACTCTTATCAGTGTACATAATAGCAAGGGAGGGTGAGCTATATTCTTCTAGAAATTCAGTTTAGTTATCCAATACAAATCAAGCATTCAGGTCTGATCTATACAGCTCCTTAAGGCCCAAGAGCCTATCACCATTGTGATTTAAAGCCTTTGAATCTGAGAAGGATTCAGAATACCTGCTCCTTGATTTAGGAGGCTGGTATCTAGTAAGGTAGGCAAGTCTGCAGTAAGGAAGGTGGCACCTCCACAAGTCAGGACCCATGGACAAAGTAACCACCACCTGGCCTGGCACTGCACCTGCCAGGTACGGGTGAAGACAGCCTTTACTTTATATTCTTGGGATCTAGCTTCCTTTGGGAGGGAGAGAATGGTGGATAGGAAGCATACAACCTCAAATAAATGTGAACAGGTCCTCAAACTCGCCTCCATCCATGCAGAGGTCTATTATATTCAGGAAACTGAGCTTGAAGTAAAGGTCAAGGGAGAGACAGTATTAGCCTCTGACCAGTTCATAACAGTGTTTCCCTTCCTTTAATGACCCATGGGGCCCAGTGATTCCCCCTCAGCTTCTGGGCATGGAGTTTCCTTAGCATAGAGAGTCACCAACTCACTGTCCTGGAAATGAGTACAGTGGAACAAACGTCTCAGTCCCTGAGCAGCAGAGTGAAGAGCCGTAGGAGGGGATGACCACTGTCAAGAATACTGTATTTACAGCAATCAATAGTTGCATTTAGAGAAGAAACCCGGGTAACATTAAGAGGCTTCCCACTGGCAGAGGTAGAGTGAGCTGCTGAGGCACTTAACTGCTGGAATCTGGGGATGGGTAAAGGTACCTCGTGGGCAGAAGTGGAGGAAGGCCACCATTTTCTTTTACCTGTGATGATCAGCAATCCCAGGGAACAGAGTCACTCAGAATTTTGTCACTTTTCCATTCCAGTATGATAGGAAACGGGCTGTTGTCAGGTTTACCTATGTCTCAAGGACCTGGGGGTTGGGGGTTTCTCTAGTCCACTGCTGCAGTGAGTAAAAGTCAAGAATCATTCCCAAAGAATCATTCCAGGTCAGACTCAGGGTAAATTCTTGAGACAGCAAATGTAGACATAACTAGATTAAAAGAGTTAACATATAAATTTGTAAGAGGAGGGCAAGCAGATGGCTAGAAGGTAAACCTAGAATCCTTCAGCCAGAGTTAGGATTTCCAGTGACTTTTAGACAGTGCCCCTGGTCACTGGCATGGGAAGGACAGAGTCAATTAGAAAGGTCTACATGGAGAAGATACTTCTCATACAATTACTTGATTAATAACAGTTGATAACCACGTTATTAAAATATTTAAAATAAAGTACAATTTAAACTACATTTTTGTATTTAATTGTTATATAAAAATAAAGTTTTGCCAGCATAGGAAAAAGAGTAGCAAATCACTTCCAAGTCACAAAAACTTACCTTTTGTTCTTTATTTTTTTATAGCTACTATGTGATTTGTTTTGAACTGGAAGCTTTCTATCAGCAACTATATAAGACACAGTGGTGGGGAGCCATAAATGAAATAGTCAACAATCTGAGGCTGAAGAGGCTTCCACTGACAGATGCTCAATTACATGAACAATATAAGAAAAAATTTGGTTTCAAAAAAGCTATGAAATGCAAGGTATATCAGTGGTTACCACATAATGTAGTGTACACTATATGTCTCAAACAAATTTTTTTCTTAGGGATAAATAGGTTAAATAAAGTCTTCAATATGAAATAAAAATCCCACATTTGAGCAGCTGAAAAGCTATACAGTTCTAGATTATAAATTTCTGGCAGGGTTACAAAACAACCTGTTAATGAACTGGATTGTGATTAATCTTAATAATGGCTAATATTTATTGAGTGCTTATTTTGTATGCCAGGCACTATTATAAATCCTTTCAAAAACTTTTTCAAGGTATTAGTACTATTGTTATTCCTGTTTTACCAATGAGAAATTTGAGGTGCCGTGAGTTAAGGATCTTTCCCAAACCACACAGCTGGTAAACAGCAGAGCCAGGCTTCAGTCCTGGGAACAAACCTAAGGAGCAAACCTGGCCTCCTGAGTCAGACCTCTACATTGCTTCAACAGCCTTGACTTGAGGTTCTGGAACTGATAAACTAAGTGGTGAGCTCACCAATTTCAAAGGATACACTGGTATTTACTTACCATTTATTTGTTTTAACGTCCATAAATTTTAAAATTTAATAACCTGTTAGTTGAATTTTAAAATATTAGGTATTCAGAATGTCGCAAAGAAAGCATGACATTTTTACCTCTCCATTTTGAGACCCAGAGCAAAGGAGACAAACTGTATTTCCATAGCTATATATTTAAAGTTTCTAGACTTCTAAATGAGATTGTTCTTAAATCAGAAAAGGAAACCACTGGGCTGGCCCGGTGGCTTAGTGGTTAAGTGCGCGCGCTCCGCTGCTGGCGGCCCTGGTTTGGATCCCGGGCACGCACCGACGCACCGCTTCTCCGGCCATACTGAGGCGGCGTCCCACATACAGCAACTAGAAGGATGTGCAGCTATGACATGCAACTCTCTACTGGGGCTTTGGGGGAAAAATAAATAAATAAATAAAATCTTTAAAAAAAAAAAAAAAGAAAAGAAAAGGAAACCAGTGATCTCCATTTGCTTTTAAAGTATTTCAGAAATATATTTGTCTACCCTGTTTTAATGGTCTCCAAAGAAGGATCTACAACTTCTCCCTAAAAAAAGAAGAAAAAAAAAAACTTTCCAAAAAGTATTTTTTAAAGTTCTCAATGTTTCTTTATAGCTCTAACAACTTTAATCATTGCCTAGTGAGACCACTTTCCTCATGGATTTTGTGAAAATTCTACTGTAATTGAGCACCAATCATGTAATTGTATTAATATATTTCATTGTCCTTTCTTTTCCTAAACCAAACTTTAGGTGAATTTTGAAAAAACTAATTCTGGTCTTCTTAATGATTTTAGAGCATCCCGTTTGGTTTGAAGTCTGCTGTTGAAAGAGGATTATCTGCTGTTTTCCACACATTTAGCCGTAAAACCTCCAGCGCGACAATCAACGTCTCGGATGAGGCAGGTTACGCTAATTTCCATCACGCCGCTCTACACAACCGAGTTGCGATTATATGCCAACTGTGCAAAGCCAACTTCAACATCAACCAGAGACGCTTTATTATGTATAGCCAAGGTACGATACAGTCTTTAAATCTAAAAGGCTTCTCTTTTACTTACCCCTATTCAGCATTAAGAATGCATGTTGATTTTAGAGCAAGGTTAAAATTTGGTATTGGTGCCTAGAGCAAAGTTGAGGTTTTTGTTTCATTTATCCCAGAGGGGCTTCTTTTAGTTTACTATGAATCACATATTGCTCCCTTACGTAGTGTTATTTATTTGTTTATTGTGTCTCCTTCACTTGAATATATGCTCCATAAAGGGCGAGGATTTGGTTGACTTTACCATGGTATCCTCGTGCCCAGAAGGAAGCCTGGCATTAGTGGGTGCTCAGGAAGTAGCTGTTGAATGAATGCATGGGTGGTGAATGCACAACAACATTTGATAATCACTCGCATAATTAATATACAGTGAGGTACCACAGAAATTCAGAGAAAAGGGAGATAGATAGAGATCCCAGCAGAACATCCCTTTTTTTTCCCAGGGTTCTCATCCAGGGAATAGTTTCTACACACTACATAAACTTTAATAACAAAGAATTCTTCTATAATAATAATTTTTGAGATAAATAACCCCTTTAAGGCTAACCTAGTTTAAACTTTAAAAGGCATTTTTTCTGATTATTAGATAGACATCCATATTTACATATTCATTGGAATAAATGTAAGTAGTATAAAAATAATAAAGTTGAAAATGAAAGTGGAGAGTCTCCATAACTGAAGAGGGAAATAGAGATAAAACATCAGTCATGGCTGATGCAACAATATTGGCAATGAGAAATGTGATTTTATATTTTAACTAGGTCAGCTATCTTAATAAGCTGTTCTAAATTTGTGCAAACCAAAACAAAATGTTCTGCTTTAATCCTATTGACTAATAATAAATTCTGTACTGTATCAGTATGATTAAAGTGTTTTGATATAAGGTACTTCTATTACTCAATTAAAATATTCAATACAGAATGAACCTTGTTAAAATAGAGCACAAATTCAGCCAAATTTAAATGCAAGGGGTATAATTCCTAAAGCAATCTATAGATTCAACACAATCCCTATCAAAGTTCCAACAACATTTTTCACAGAAATAGAACAAAGAATCCTAAAATTTATATGGAACAACAAAAGACCCCGAATAGCCAAAGAAATCCTGAGAAAAAAGAACAAAGCTGGAGGTATCACACTCTCTGATTTCGAAATATACTACAAAGCTATAGTAACCAAAACAGCATGGCACTGGCACAAAAGCACACACACAGATCAATGGAACAGAATCGAGAGCCCAGAAATAAACCCACACATCTGTAGACAGCTAAT